ATCAGTGGTACATCCTTCTTCCCAAGCCTTGTTAACCTCCCTCTAGGTCTGAGATCATTGGAACATGTTGAGCCCATAACAAGGCAATTCTATGGACAAGTAATTTGTTTTTCCAACACCTGGACATCACTTAGAGCTTGTTGGCTGCTTTCTCTTTCACGGATTAAATCTCTCATCTTATTGATTAGGCTTGAAAGTACACAGAGATCAAAGAGCATCGTTCCTTAAGAAAAACTGTACATCTTCCACATTTTGCAATAGGAGCAGTTGGGAGCAGGAGCAGCAGCAGTGCAGTGGGAGCCCAAGTTGGTGGAGCTGTTGGACAGAGTGCAATCCACCATGTCCTGGTGGAGCAGGGCCCCAGACACCACCAGAATGCATGTTAGGCTGACCAAGAGCTCCCAGGACTGCCAGGTGAGGGGTGGGCACTGGGCTCTGTGGGTTGGCACCGGGCAGGGGTTAGGCTGTGGTTTTGGTGTCCAGTGCCCATGGGACCCACTGGGCAGGGCTGGGGCTGCCTCATGCTCTGAAGGTCCCTCGGAATACACCCATGCCACTGGAAGTGGCCCACGGGGGACAGTGCGGAGACTCCAGTGGAAGTCAGAGGTTCCCTGTGCTGTGACACTCAGTAAACTTGAGCTCTGGTTCAGCTCGTGGCCAAAATGCATGGATTTGTCCTTGTTCCACGGTCATGCGAGCTACGCTGTCACAAAGCAGGAGGAGGCCTCATGGGAGGGCAGTGGCAGCAATTGCTGCTGGGCTGTGGAAGGCTTGTCTCCGGCAGGTTTAAATGTGACTCGGGTGTTTGGTCTTTGTCATTGTGGCCATGTGTCATGGTGCCGGCATTCTTCCAGTTAATGTAAAGGCATTGACTCAGGACGAATAGTCGTTCTTTCAAGGACGGATGCCTTCCTGCAGCAGGGGTATTTGCAGGTGGGACACGAAGGGATGGAGGTGGGACATGGAGCAGTGCTGGTGGGACACAGTTCTGAGATCAAAGCACTCCCTGGGGATGAGAGCCCAGTGTTGAGGAGCTTTGCCTCCTTATCTTGGGTATGTCACACTGTCATTTGTTTTATTAATAGTTGACAAGAATATCAACATCGAGGGAGGAATAAGGGGGGGAGAAGATACCAATTCTTTGGTCTCCATTTTAAATGGTTGTGGTCTGCCATCTGAGACATCTCTCCAGTGCCAGAGGGGGAGGACATGACTGATGGTCTGTAGGTGGTGATATCTTCCTTCTCCCTGGCTTAATGCTCAGCTCCATTGCTGACCCAGTTCAGTTCTGACTGTGCCACTGAACATTTGCAATGAAGCTTTAAAATCAGAACTTGGATTTTTCGGATCCAACACCCAAAATTACCAGGTTGCGTCAATTTCTGTTATTGCTTGTAGAATAGTAGCAATGCCTCTTACAGTGAATAGCTGGGAAAATTCTCTGGTGTTTGGGAAGTGCTTTTGGTGTAAGATGAGCTCTGTGTCTCTAGCCTTTGTACAGCAACACAGTTGTGGAGCTGTGTGCTAAGGTTTTGTAAATGTTTCCTGCCTACTGAGTACTGTCTGGGTTGTCTGAAGACACTGTATATTACAACAAAACAAACCTGCAATCAAACAATTTAAAAGTAATTCCTGAAGTAATTCAGGACACACTGAAGAAGGCTAAATTCCTGTTGTATGTCCATATTCACGTCTTTGAATGGCTCTCCTACGCCACAGCATGGTGCTTTCAATATATTGGGAGAAATTGCAGGCCAGTTTGAAGACATAGAATTTAAAATGACATTTTAAAGTAGGCAGCAGAGAGTCAAGAACATTCCACACTCATCCTGAAGTGCTGCAGCCTGGCTAGTGGTGACACTGGGGCCAGGTCAAAGCACAGCACAAGTCAGACCGCAGTGCTGCTGTGTGTGTGAGGGTCTGAGCTGTGGGTTTTACTGGGAAAACTGCCTCTACCCAGGGGTGAAAGGCAGGAGACAGGAAGAGGGTGTTCCTGAGCCACAGAGTGTGGAGGTCAATAAAAGTAAGACGATCCCAGGGGAGGCAAGAAACTGGAACTCCTTATTGGACTTGCAAGTCCATTTTTTTTAAAGGGTTTAGGGTTTACATATTCAACAGGGCATTATGGAATTATTGGAGCCCCTGGTGGTCTAGTGGTAAAGGCGCGGCGCTATCACTGCCGAGACCCGGGTTCGATTCCCGGTCAGGGCCACTCCCGGGCAGGTGGGGCTCGTTAGCCCTTAAAGGCAACCCATCTACGTCCTAAGGACCTCGCTGCCACCGTCCAAGCTCGCTTGGCCCCGGCAGATGAACCTTAGGATTAAAGGGTGGGCTCAGTTCCGCGCACACAGTGTCTCACCTAAAAAAATCCAATGCGCAGGCTGGAAGGTGTAAAGACCTTCCCCGGATCTTCGCTCGCAAAGACTGGCCATTATATTATTATTATGGAATTATTAAAATTTATTACAAATAGGGGTGTTTAGGGGATGACATAAGGGGAAAACCCAGGTTAACAAATTTGGGGTCTTAGCAGTTACCTCATGGGGAAAAACCTACTTTATCTTAGGGGATTTTACAGGGGGGAACAGATATTTGGTTCTACAGGATGCAGGGATTCAGGGAACACAAAGGGAGAGATAAGGTACAATAGGATTTCTGCAGAGGTTTGATGAAATCAAGGCGTGGACTCTCTGAGGCATCTGATGATATCTCGTTTGTTTCTCAAACTGAGATTTTTTTCCCCAACTCTCATAGCCCAAGTCTTTCTGCAAAGTCCACTCAAATCTCTTTCTTCAGATATCATATTTTGGGATTCAACAACAGAGCCTGCTCCTGTTGATTCCCTCACCTGTCTGGCTTTCCCCAGGTCACACTTGGGGAAAGAGCTTGGTCAGAGCCGGCCAGAGTACGTCTGAGTCTGTTTGAAGTCTTGGCTTTTTTGTTGTCAGTTAACAGCAGGAGCTTATTTGAGAAGATTCAGAAGGGCTCTCTGCCTTCTATCATTTTGAAAGAGCTTGAAGCAAGAAATCTTTATCATTTTATCCCAAAGTCTCAAATTTCAAAAGGTGAAAACTTTAACACTTAATCTTTACAGAACATCTCTCCTTCCACTCTTTGTTTTCTGTAGCTTGTGCTAAGACCTTTTTTTCCTTTTTATTCTGAAGTTGAAGAGGATCCTGTACCAACTCAGTCCTTCCTTCCTGGGATTTCCTTTATTGCATCCAGGCTGGCATCTTCCTAAGTTTCTCTGTGTATAGATGAATAGGTTTGGTGTCCTTACTGCCCTGTGCACTGCTATCCTTACTGACACTTGTCTCTGCCCTTCAGCACTTAGATGGAGCTGCACCAAAGCAGTTTTGGTCTGTGTCATAGCCAGTGATGCTCCAGGGAAGAAGGGCCCTTTGGCAAATGCCTTGCTGTGTGTTTTCTTGCAGTGATGTTCAAGAGGATGACCTAAAAGAAAACTTTTATTATTCTTACTTTAGTTTTATTTTTAATTTCTTCTGCACGGCTGGGGCTTTGTATCTGTGCAGGACTGGCACAGTCAAATGCCCTGGTTGTCTGGCCCAGGGAAAGCAGCACAAACTTGCTGGTGAAACTAGGGTTCTTGCTAGCAGCCACCCCATAGGTTCACTTCACTAACTTTTAAGAGCACACCCTGTTTGTGGTATTAAACTGACACTAGTGTTGTTAAAGTCTCTCCTAATATTTGTATCCTAAAGTCACCCCAGTGCTGGACATTCAGGCACTTGAAAGCAGGGGGTCCCTACATAACGCAGTTGAAAAATCTGCCAGTGAGGGAAGATTCTGGGAGTTTATGAAATTTGCCTTGCAGTTGTGTGCAGCCATAGATGAAATTTTTTTCTTTGAGGAAGCTTAGAGAAGAGGCAAAAGAATCAGGTTTCCTACAACTGCCACCAGTTAGGAATGATCTGCTCAGTCCCTCCTGTGTCTTTTCAGTGCTGATCTAGAAAACAGGCTTTCTGCATCTGTCAGCCTAGAGAGATGCATTTGACATTAGTGGTAAGATTTCCTGCATGCTTCTGTTAAAATAATGCCCATTCTGTAGGCTAAACAATCAATTACTTCATTTCCCAAACTGGAAAATACCTCTGCAGCGGCTGCTTGTAAGGATACAGGAGATACAGTAGGATATAGTAGACCTGCACTGGGAGTGGGAAAACGTAGTGGAAACATCTGGAAAGCAGATCAACAGCAGCAGGTCCCATGTGCAAGTCTCACATCAATGTCCTGCAGTTCAACCTGCTGTTTCTTGTTGCTGTGGTCACATTGGTGCTCCCCTGTATCGCAGAAGTGTGGGTTGGTTTGGTAGGATGTTGGACCTGAAGATATTTTCTGTACAGCTACTTCCCTGTGGTGGGTTTTTGCTTTAAACAAGGTCCCTGGCACAGCCTCTTGTGAAGGGTATTCTACACCTCTTTTCAGACCCCCATTCCATTTTTACAAGACTTGTTTTCAAGAGATTTTAATGATTTTTAAGCTTTATCAGAAAGCGGCACCTTCTGTACTGATAGGTGCAGCAAAATAAACCAAGTTTTTTAGGTTTCACTAACCCTAAATATATGTAGTAATGAGGAAAACAAAAAGGGTTTTTGCACCTGTTGAAATTGGCATTCACCTTTTCTAGTTATAGTCCTTGTTGGAGGACTCGTTTGTGAGCTAAGCTTCAGCCAGTTTGATTGTACTCGGGCACTTGCCTTTCAAGGGAAGTATGGACCTATTAATTCTGGGAAGCAGGAAGGGATGACTTGCTAATTCAATGCTTTGCTGAATTAGAGGCTGAGTGACTGCTGCTATCTCAGTGTTTTTGTGGCCAGCTGCTTTCAGAGGAAGAATTGTGCCAGAGCAGCTCTTTTTAGTGACTGAAATCATATCAAAATCTTCAAAATATAGTTATCAATTTAAAATTATGGGCCTAGTTAATTGCCAGCAATGGAGTGTAGGCTGAAGTTTTCACAGAAACTATTTTTTCATTTTAGCCAAATGAAGTGCGTGCATTTAACTTCCCTTTGTCAAAAGCTGGCAAAGATAATCCTCGGAGAAGCTTTGACTGTGTCCAGCAAACAGGCTCAAGGTATGTTTTGCTTTCGTGGCACATATCAGTGGATTGAGCATATGCTTTGAGCATATGGTGAAAACCTTTATGCAAATAACTGCAGGTATTACATGCATTACAGAAGCATGTTCCTGGTGATGACTGCAGTAGGAAATGAATTCCCAGCAATACGTGGCTTCTTGCTAATAACAAACACTTGCTTTCCTGTAGAATTCTTTTTAGCTCTGTTCCTAAAAAAAAAAGTACCTTCTGAGTACTTTTCCCCCTCTTAGTGGTATTTTTCAAAGGGTTTGGAGCTCAGGATGGTCCAAGCTTGACCGGATCCATTCTACAACTGTATGTCAATATGATTATGGTTGGCAGCATGCTGGCCTTGATAGAGAGTTGTCTTATCTTAACAGCCACAAAAACGGTATCTGAAAGGGGCCAGGCTTCCAAGGCTGGCACAAAGCAAGCAGCAGGACTTCAAGGCAGGAGGGAGAGGTCCTGCCCCCATTCCTGGCCTGCCTGTCCTGAGCACGTCTGAGGGCACTTTCCTCTTTGGGAAGGATGGCTTGAACGAAACTGTATTTTTTTATGTCAGATTAAACTGATGTAGCTCATTTAGCTCTAAATAATTCTGACTAGGAAATCTAGGTAGTTTTAATGTGGTTTTTTTTCCTCAAAATCTAATTCAGACTAGCGTTCACAGGCCCTGTGTAGGCAGCTCTCAGTTTGTGCAAAGTGCCTGCAAAGTTACGGCAGAACTTGCAGTAGTGTTACACACAGAACTATTTAAAAAATGGCCTTTTCTTTCTGTTGTAAATGTGCTGGAGTGAGGGATCAATCCATAGTCCTTGGCTATGGACAAAACTGGAGCTGTATCATACTGAAATACTGGGCAGCGGCCTTGTGCAGCTTTGCGACTTTCAGAAAGAACATGATAAACTGAGACTCAGGTTTGTTGATGATTTTTCTTGGAGCCTTGATTGGTCATTTTAAAGCAGTTTCAGGTGAACCGTCCTGTCCTCGGTCAGGGCTGTTACCGTGGCAGTCAAGTGGTTACCAAGTGGGCTGGGTAAGAGCAGTGTCAGTGAGGGCAGGGCACAGGAAGGCTCCAGGGCAGGACCTGCCTGCCTGGAAGGTGCCGGGGTAGCTGCCCCAGTGCTGCCTATGGCTGTCACTGCAGCCGTTCTCAGCAGAACCAGCAGCACAGCCCTGTGCTGGTGTGAGGAAATTGTAACTACACTGACAGGTAAAACTGGCAAAAAAAAAAAAAAAGTCTGGATGTGAGAGGCAGTTGGAAATCTGTTTACACCCTAGCTTACTGTTAGAACTGGGAAATGTTTTTCTTCCCCTGTGAAGACCAGTTTTAACATTCCTGATACAACCATGCTTCTAATGCTGAAGTTGTGCCTGAAGGGCTCAACACTTTTCTATGTTTTTATAGGTATGGAGCCTTGCAATTTAGACTCCCGACCCAGGCAGAAAAGGCATCACGAAATCAAAGTGCAGTGATTACTGATGGACCTGATGGGCCATTTTCAGGTATGGTTGCTTTTAAATTTTTATTGGATGTCTGTAAGTTTTAAACCTGGTAATTGATTTCTGAAGTGTATTCTTGGGAAAAGTGATGCATTCAGACATCTCCAGTGAATATCATTCATTATTGAACTATTTTGAGCACTGTTTCCCCGAGAAACCTAGTCTCCAAGCAGACACAAGGTGGACATCCACTTTACAGACTCCCAGTGGTACCAGCAGCAGTGGTCCTGCCTGCAGCAGTGAGCTGAGCCAAGTACATCCACCTTCACAGAGTAAAAGGGGCTCTCACTTGGCTGTGGCTGTAGTCACCTGCCAGCAGGACATCCCTGACAATGAAAATGCAGCTCTTGCTCTGTCTGTACTCATGGCAGAGCATTTAAAGCTTACATTGTCATGGCTTTTTGGAAAGAGAAAATTTAGTGCGTTTGGCCTTGACTCCGAGGGAGCTTTTCTGGAGTTGATTGTTGTAGGTAGTAGTGGCACTGCTCCCCCTCTGTTGTCTGAACTGCTCTGTAATGGACTGTGAGAGGAGCCACTTCCATGTATGTTAGAACTTCTCACTGGGGAAGTTCTGTTTGACATCGAATGATAATATGTGTGATTCTTGCTGATGGTTTAAATAGATCTCAAGTGAATATATAACGTTCGGTAATTGGGGTCTGAAGACTTACAGCAGTAAGACAATTGTGATATAGCGGGGTACTTTTGTTTTGGGCTGACATTAAGAAAACTCAGATAGGACAGGTCTAGTTGCTAGTAGGACATAGGGCAACATGCTCCATGCAGTACCAGTTAGGGACTAGGGTTTGTCACAGAATCTTAGAATATACTGAATTTGAAGGAATCCACAAAGATTATGAAGTCCAGCTCCTGGCTCCAAGAATCCCACCATATGCCTGAGAACACTAAGTGCTTCCTGAACTCTGGCAGACTTGATGCCATGACCACTCTTCTGGGGAGCCTGACAGGTGCTTAACTACCCTCTGGGTGAAGAACCCTTTCCTAATTTCCATGTATGCTTTGATATGGTTTCAGGTTATTTTTTTTTCAGGTCCTTCAGGGACATAACATTAGGAAGTGCTTTGCTTGAATGCTGTGAAATGTTTCTGCATTATTCAATAACCATTGAATTTAACTTCTCAAAACATTAGCAGTGCCTTCAACAGACAACTGGCAAGTTTACAGTGTTCTACAAAATTTAACTGTGTGTGTTTGTATGATTAGGTTTGCAGCTGAACACCAGAAAGACAGAGTCCAGGGAGCAGCAAGCATGGAAAGGTATTAAAGGTTTGCCCTCCACTTCATAAGAACAGGTCAGACTCTGTGTGTCTGATACAAAGAGAGAAGGCTCCATGTTTTGTCACCAATTCTCATTTAGCCTTTTTCAGGTACCAGACCCAAGTTAATGGTTTCAGACAAGTGGCTGGTCTGTCATATCCTCTCTCTCAGCCTGCTGGTCCCAGCTTTGCTGATGCAGCCCTGGACAGGGCTGTTTTTCTGGGCTACCTGCTCACATTGCCAGCCACTGTCCAGCCTCAAGTATCACTCATTTAGGAGCATTTTTTAATGACTGTTTGTTTGTTCATGCCCAACTCGATGTGTCTTTACCATGTGAATTCTTACGGACTTGGAAATGGTGAACAAATACAGATTTATCAGTCCCAGTAAATACTTCTAAACCAACTTCCTTGCCGTCTCCCAACCTCCCATATGACAAATTTATTTTCCTCTTTTTTGCCCTTATTTTAGGAAGAAAAGCAGAGGTCCGAAGAGTCCCACAAAGCACTCCAGATGTCGTGCCTGAGAGGAAGAGAACAACACCCATGAACCCTGCAAACATATTCCAGAGAACTTCCAGTGGAGTTTCAGGCCGACCATTCAGGGACAGGGTGATTCACTTGCTGGCTCTGAAGAATTACAAGAAGCCAGAGTTATTTGATCGCTTGCAGAGAGATGGAATCATGCAAAAGGACAGGGGTTCCCTTGGAAAGATCCTTCAGCAGGTGAGATCCTACAGTTTATGCCAGCAATTTGTCCCTCCTGCTATTCTTTTATTCCTAATTTCTACCTCTGTCACTCCAGTGTTTCAATTGGAAATGGACAAGCAACTTACATACTGCACTTTGTTTAAGTTTTTTGATAAATTTTATCCATATGGGCCAACCTGCAAGTCCATGAGAGGAAAGGAAAGAAACACTGAAAACTTTTGGGGCAGAGTTTTTGTTTTGTTAGAATGGCAGGCATTAATTATCTCTTTCTAATGTTTTTGCTTCTCATGTCTTATCATCTGTGTCTCTTTTCCTTGCACTGTTTTACTGCTTAATGGAGAGAACTACCCAGGGGTTGTCTTGATTATGTGAAATAATTCGTTGTGGTACTTTTTTTTTCAGCTTTGATTTAGCTTTGCAGTAGCAGTTTTTGATCTGCAGTTTGCATTTAGATGTCATGAACATTTAGTTTCTTAATTATCTTCCTGTAGGTAGCCAACCTGAATGCAAAGGATAATTCCTTCTCTCTGAAGGAACATTTATTTAAAGATGTTCAGAAAGATTGGCCTGGCTACAGTGAGGTAGACAGACAGGTTTTGGAGACAGTACTTTCTAGGTAAGTTCCTTCTGTAGGGGAAGAACAAGAGCCATTTCAGAAAATTCCTGGGAAATTAAGGTCTGTCTTCCCTCTAAGGAAAGAAGTAAGACAATAGATATTTTTGGCTAGTAACCTGAAATGTTGGCCATCCTTACAGAAAATCAGCTTCCTCTCAGCATGCCACCAGCACTAGCCATCTGACCCCTCGAGGACCAGATGCTCCATCAAGAACTTCTGAGGTATTTGGTGCATTTCTTAAACCTTCTGTACAGAGCATTAAGATATTTTATCACACTTTCTCTTGGTGTAACAGCTGTGATGTGAAGCACTAATCTTGTTTTTAGCACAAACCACGTGAGTCATTTCTTTCTAATGGGATTCCTGCATTCTTTTAAAGATGGCTGCAGTGTCAAAGACTGCAACAAACCTGCAGATGTGCTTTGTTCACTATGATGCACAGGAAGCTCTGCTAAGACAAGATGTGTTTGTGGTTTTGGTACCTGGTTGTGTCTGGTTCAAGGTTCTTTGTGATCTGGCAGCTCTAGGCCATAAAACACACCCAAACATCCTTGTGGTACTGTCTAAGTAGAAATCTTAGCAAAGACTAGAATAAGGACAAATTACAGTAGTGATCCACTTGAAGGAATATTGTTTCTCCCCCTCTTGGCAGCATTTAAGGCCCAGTTTTGGTTCAGTGGAGCCCATGTGTGAAAAGCTGGAGGCTTTCTGAGCCTCAAACTGGACGTCAGGGCACGCTGCGTAAGGAAATAAGCTGGGAAGTACAGAAAGCCTTCCACCATGGAGAGAATTCTCTTTAAATAGAGCAGGGAGGACACAGCTCTATTTTTCCCTAACACTCTTCCAGCCACAGCAGGAAATGGTGCAGGTCCCAGTAACCTCTTTTGACCTGAAAGAAACGTGGATTTCTTTCAGCAGCTGGCGCAGAGCCTTGTCTGGCATTCCTGGACTCAGCTTCCAAAGTACGTGGATGTGAGCAGGGTATGCTTGGCAGGGAAGAGGATGTGAACCAGCGTTTCAGCTGGAGTACAGCTGGAATGACAACTGTAGCCAGACTGGAGCTTTTCCCTAGTCTTCCCAGCTCTGCACTTGACATGCTGTGATCAGCACCCACCGCCTGCTTCCCGGGGCCGCTTTAGTAAATCGTGTGGCTGAGTGACAGCAAAAGCTGAGTCTTACCCCAGTGTGTCTGTGGAAATTGGGACCTAAACAAAACTGACCCGACCTCCTTGTTTTGGGGAAGCCTTTGATAGGGCTGCTGCAAGGAGTGTCTTTCTCCCAAAGCCTTTTTAGCTGTTGAAGAAGGACTTTTTATATCCCAAGACGAGAAACTAGGAAGGACATAAACCACGTATTTAGCAGCAGTATTTCCTTGTTTGACAGCTCCCTGTAGCTGAGAATGATGTGTTTTCAACACTGGCCTGTTCAGAAATGCCTGTTTCTCAGAATGGGAGGAAAGTCTAATTCTGATCGTATATTAATTAGTTATTTTGATATTATTACAGAAACGGCGTCTGGATTCCAATTTCACCTGCCCTGTCATGAGCAAAAAGCAGAGGATTGGTCGCCTGGCCAGTCGAGTCCAGCCAGCAGCCAGTGACCTCTGCGCTGCTTCCTCAACACTGCCTCCCACAGTCCTTCCGACTTCTAACACATCTGAAACTGTCAGCTCCACTTTCCCCTGCACCTCCGAGGTGCAACAAGAGGATATGTCTCAGACTGCTTTTGGAATTCCATCACCTGCCACAGTGCAGGGGGAGTCTCCTAAGTCTAAAGGCGTGAAAGAAGATAGGAAGAGGCTGAAAGCATCTCAGCTTTTGGATCTCAGTGAAGGTATTAATGCCCTGCTTTTCATAACTCCTGTGGGAGTAAACCCTGGTGAAAAGAGAGCACTGAAACCAGGGACTGGAAATATGAAGGTTCTGCTATGTATTAGTGCTCTACTGTTGTTCCTGCTTTATGGTAATGAAAAGTTTAGACTTTTTGTATGCCTTGTACGACATTGTAACTGTTATCTTAAACGACTACATTACCACAGCTCAGAAACTGTTCTACTGGAACCTTATCTAAAATGATGTTCATTTTGTAAGAATTCTCCCTCTGCAGTGCAAGAACAAAGTAATATTAAATGGATTGCTGTTGGGCAGAAACTGGCTAAAAGGAAGAGCTGGGACTAAGGAATGGAGTTTTTTTTTTCCCACTTGATTTCCAGTAAACTGACAGTTGACTGGAACTCCACATTTTCCCTCATCAAGTTTTAAGGTCTACATGCTGGAGATACACACTCCTTGCAGACCAATTTTCTGAAACACATGGATCAGACATCAATGATTTCCTCATGGTTATCACACTGTTATCATGGTTATCAAATGCCATTTTACAGAAAGTCCAAAAGCTACATAACCTGGCTTCTGATTGGTTTGAACTGTACCAAGAGCTCCTCTCCATCTTAGCTGCAGAATTTATTTCTTCAAAAGCCTTAGAAGTGGTTTGACTCAAAATGACATTGAAAAGATGAACAGAAATGGACAAAGAACACTTGATTTCTGACTACAGGGACACACTCAGCACGCCAGAGTTCAGTTCCTTTGTTAAATCTGTGTGTTGTCTTGTTTTAGAGGTTGGACTCAGAAATTAGAAGTCGAACCTGGAGGCCTCTTTAGAGAGTGTGGCTTCCTCTTGGAAGTGGTGGTGTACTTGTAGAGACGGGTGCTTTGGGATGGTCTTTCCACATTTACCCTGGACATATGCACAGTGCCCACAAGCCTTGGGATTGCTTTGGAAGTATTTGTGCTTGAATCTATAAACACATGAGCATACTTCTTCAGGAGCCACTAACAAAGTTCTGAACAGGTGGAGAAGGAAAAATCTGCTTGCACTGAAGCTTTTGTGTGGACTGAGCCATGTCAGCAAATGCGCTTGAATTTTTGGAAATGAATCACTCTCAGCAAAGCTGTTCACACAAGTCGTATTGTACATACTGGGACTATTAATATTCCTATTTGTATTTCTGTCCCATTTTTTACATTTCCTTTTATACTCCTGCTATACCATGTCATAATTTTAATACTAAATTTAAAAGAATTAAGTGGAGCATCATATGATAGCTCTTTTCTCTCCTCAAGACTCAAAGCTCAAACAACTTAAAGACAGGCAAGAACAACTGAGCTTTGGTAGGACAACTGTTTGTATACAGTGGCAATGTAAGCTGACAATGAATGTAAATGTGTTTTTTAAGCTTGCCACAAAACCCCAAATAATAAGAAGAGAGAGATTATGAAGATAGTGGAGTGTTCCTTCTTGTTCCAACTCACCTTTCCCTACAGCAGCTCTTTTTCTTATTTATCTTAGTCTGAAATAGTGTGGTGCTTCCTCCTGCCATTTAAAAGAACCAAAGAGCAATTTACAAGTTCAGACCACTTTCCAACCCAGCCTTGCCACATTAAAGAGGAGCACTCAGTGTTTGCTGCACGTTATTGGAGCCTTCGTGCCAGTTACCCCCATCCAATGCAACTGACTTTCCTGTTTAGAAGAGAGCTGAAATTCAGCTGAACTTTGGGCATCTGTAATTGTCAGGGAAAGCAGGAATAAAAACATGGCATGGGAAGGACTTCAGCTTTCTACTCCTCTCTAGAAACTCCTCACTAGAACCTCGATGCTGATCTCTGTCTCTCTGTCTCCATCTGTTGTCTTTTGTGCAGCTGCACCTGTTGCTGCACGACATGAATGGCTGTGCAGATGCCACCTCATGCCTTCAAAGAAGAAAAGCTGAGCTAGGGTTAACACTGGGCTAGTGCAGAACCTGTAGAATAAAGTGGCTGTGCCTGCTTTCTCAACCTGGTACTGCCAACTGTGGAGAAAGTCATGTGAGCCCTGTTATTAACTTACACAGCTTCTTCCAAGTAAATTACAGTGAGAATAAAGTTCTGAAGGACCTTTTCAAGCCCATCCAGTTGGTACTGTTTGACTGTATTAAAAATTTCTTTATCGCAAGTGTCAAAATTTCTGCTTTTCTGTAGGGGTTAAAGAAACTTGCACTGCCTCCACAGACCCTGTGTCATCAAGGGAACAACTGGACAATTTCATGTGAGTAAAATAACAACTGTTTTGCCACTCAGCAAAGCAGGCAAAAACTCACCTATGAACACTCTTGTGTAGCTAAAAAAAAGCCAGATGTGACCAAAATGCAGTGGTCAAATAAGGACTAGTTCCTTTCACTCACCTAGCTGCCTCATTGCAATACCTTCCAGTTTTAAACTGTGAGGTTGTCCCACAGTTATTGAAAGGGGAAAGAAGTGTTAAAAAGAATTTCTCATGTACTTCAGAAGAAGACTTTGAACATTTAATTTCATTCTTCTTCAAGCAGACAAAATGGGTATATGAACCCGCAGTACTTTGTATTTAGATGTGAGGCAATGCAGGAGGAATGCTGAATGCTAAAATACTGAATGTGTGAATTGGAACATCTTTCCTGTGTTTGGACTGCTTAGTGTATCTAAGCTGGAGAGGTGGGAAGGGGAGACTGCAAGCTGCAAAGTCCACCCCTCCAAAACCCCTTTATGAGCTAACAGGAGTTAACCATGGAAGGTATTTCAAACTAACTTGAAGCTACAGCAAAATATCAAATTTCACCATAGAATTGCAGACCAAGGATCTAGAGAAAATAGAAAAACCTCAATTTGCAGCAGGTAAAACTGGCACAGTGTAGATGTGTAGAGACATTTGGAAATCTAGTTACAGCCCAGCTCACTGTCAGAAATGGAAAACATTTTTCTTCACCTGTTAGAACAGGTTTTAAAGTTCTTGATACAACTCTACTTCTAGACCTGAAGTAGTGCCTGAAGGCTCAATGTTTTTCACTGTTTTTATAGCTGTGGAGCCTTGCAACTCAATGACCCAGGTTCTGTCCAGGATAAAGTTACAGTAGGTGGAACAAGCAATAATGATGAGATGACCAGAGAGCACCCGACCCAGGCAGAAAAGGAGTCATTCAATCAAAGTACAAAGGTCATTACACCTCATGGACGACTTTTAGGTATGGTTGGATTTCATTTTTTACTGGATGTCTGTAAATTTTTTAATTGGTGTCCAGCCCCTCACCCAGCATCCCCTCCGAGTCCTTCTTGTCAGGGCTTCTTTCAGTCCCTTCATCCCCCAGCCTGGATTGATACCGGGTGTTGCCCCAGCCCAGGTGCAACACCTTGCAGTTGGCCTTGTTGAGCCTGAGGAGGTTCCCAGGGGCCACTTCTCGAGCTTGTCCATGTCGCCCTGGATGGCATCCAGGCCCTCTGGAGTAGGCAGACTTGCCAAGGGTGCACTTAATCCCACTGTCCATGTTGTTCTTAACACAGGTCAGTGCTTGAGCTTACAAACTGGGAAAATAATAAAAGCACCATCAATAGAAAGAATCTATATAAAGAATCTTCCCTCCCGTATCACTCATGTACCAGTGTTTTTTAATGACTGTTTGTTTGTTCATGCCCATCTCGGTGCATCTTTACTATCTGGGTCCTTAGAGATCTGGAAATGCTGAACAAATACAAGTTTATCAGTCCTGGTAAATACTTTCAAGCCAACTTCCTTGCTGTCTCCCAACCTCCCATATGACACGTTTATTTTCCTCTTTTTTGCCCTTATTTTAGGAAGAAAAGCAGAGGTCCGAAGAGTCCCACAAAGCACTCCAGATGTCGTGCCTGAGAGGAAGAGAACAATACCCATAAACCCTGAATATGTCCATAGCAGTCGTTGCAGTGCTGTGTATCGCAGACCATTCAGGGACAGGGTGATTCACTTGCTGGCTCTGAAGAATTACAAGAAGCCAGAGTTATTTGATCGCTTGCAGAGAGATGGAATCATGCAAAAGGACAGGGGTTCCCTTGGAAAGATCCTTCAGCAGGTGAGATCCTACAGTTTATGCCAGCAATTTGTCCCTCCTGCTATTCTTTTATTCCTAATTTCTACCTCTGTCACTCCAGTGTTTCAATTGGAAATGGACAAGCAACTTACATACTGCACTTTGTTTAAGTTTTTTGATAAATTTTATCCATATGGGCCAACCTGCAAGTCCATGAGAGGAAAGGAAAGAAACACTGAAAACTTTTGGGGCAGAGTTTTTGTTTTGTTAGAATGGCAGGCATTAATTATCTCTTTCTAATGTTTTTGCTTCTCATGTCTTATCATCTGTGTCTCTTTTCCTTGCACTGTTTTACTGCTTAATGGAGAGAAACTGCCCAGGGGTTGTCTGGTTTGTGGGAAATAGTTTGTTATGGTACTTAATATTTCCTGTGACAAGTTTCTGAGCAGAGAAGTTTGGTAATTGCATAGGCCAGTAGTTCATTTGAACGGAACTGGTGGCCTATCAGTGGTACTTGGCTTCTCCTGTCATCTGTTGGGGTTGACTTCCAGGGAAGGGTGTTCCAGGCAAATCCTAACTGGAAAAGGTGGAGGTTCAATTTTTTTCTTTGCTGTTGTATGGACTGTGCCTTCATCTGCCTTGAAACCTTTTTTTACTGAGTAACTTTTCCAGTGCTCCTTTTGAGTTCAGTTGTGCTTGCATTTCTTTATCACAACCATTCATAAGATGCCTATGGATTCATAACAATACAGTGGCTATTTCCTTCCTTTCTAAATATTCCCTGTGGTTAGGCTATGGCTGTGGCTAAATTATACAAGCATTAATATGTTAAGGTTTTTTTATTTTATTATGTTTATTTTGTTATATATTTATATATTAATATTTGTCATATATTTTATTATATTTATTACTTTATTTATATAACAAATATATCAAGGAAAATAACAAATTTATCAAGGAAAAAAAGTGTTTTGGAACATATCAGAGGGAGTAAACTTCAACATTTATACAGTTTGGGTTGATCCTACACTGAATTTTCAGCACCTCTTCCTGGACCTGTTAGGTTTGTTGCTCTGTTTGCCCTGGGCAAGGGCAGATTTTTTCACCCTGACGGCAGACACAATTTAATGAGAGCCCTGTTCTTCCATTCAAATTGAAGCAGTCCATTTATACTTCAAGTTGAGTACAAAATCCCAAAAGCTCAGTTCCTTAGAGGGTGAAAAGTGAAAAAATTTTCTCCTGTCCCATTATGTTTGACAATATTTAAGGAGACTATCTTGGGCTTGGTTTCCTTTATGAGGGATGATCTTCCTTGAGGTCCTAGTTTGCATTCCAAAAAGGTCACATTAGCAGCATTACACCCTAAAAGTCTTGCTCACATTTTTCTTACCTTCAAAAGCAGGTAGCAGACCTTTGTTTCTATAAATCTAAAACCAGCAGCCTGAGCTTGAGTTTTCTCTTTTAATACAGCTTTAGTTCTGTTTTTCAGGAGTCAATTACTATTTCTGGGTATCTTTATTACTTTTGATTTTTTAAATCTGTTTTGGTTTAGCTCTAAGTAGGTTATCCCATACAACTGTTCAGTAGGAACCTGTAGTTTCCTCTTGGCAGGCATTTGAGAAAGAGAAGCAGTTCTGTTTGGGGACACAACTGACAACATTCTGTGGTTGCTCATGGGATGATGAAAACATGCCTCACTCCAGGCACAGCCTGTGCTCTGCCATAAACTTGTAGCTGTGTAAAACAAGAAGGCAGCAGGTTTCCTCCTCAAGTTGGACCAATCTGGACTTGTACATGCAGATAGTGTTCTTCAGTTCTTAGAAAAAATAAAAGTAAAAAGAAAGAAAAAACCTGGCCTCTCATTGTATTTCAAGTGGCAAAGACTGAAAGTTTTGGCACTGTTTGCCTTCATTCTCAAAGCTGTATTAAAGACGAAAAACCCAAACATGGATACTTGGTGCAGAGAGAGGTTTTTATAGAGTACACTTCATATAGGCTTGCAGTGATTTAGGATTTTCTTATGTCAGAATTTTTGCATCCCAAATGGACCAAACTTATTTAAAATCAGTGCTTCTCACGAGAGAGCTAGTTTGATCTTCATATACGAAGAAAAGTCTTGGAAACCAGTGCATGATGTTCTTTTCAACTTTGATTTAGCTTTGCAGTAGCAGTTTTTGATCTGCAGTTTGCATTTAGATGTCATGAACATTTAGTTTCTTAATTATCTTCCTGTAGGTAGCCAACCTGAATGCAAAGGATAATTCCTTCTCTCTGAAGGAACATTTATTTAAAGATGTTCAGAAAGATTGGCCTGGCTACAGTGAGGTAGACAGACAGGTTTTGGAGACAGTACTTTCTAGGTAAGTTCCTTCTGTAGGGGAAGAACAAGAGCCATTTCAGAAAATTCCTGGGAAATTAAGGTCTGTCTTCCCTCTAAGGAAAGAAGTAAGACAATAGATATTTTTGGCTAGTAACCTGAAATGTTGGCCATCCTTACAGAAAATCAGCTTCCTCTCAGCATGCCACCAGCACTAGCCATCTGACCCCTCGAGGACCAGATGCTCCATCAAGAACTTCTGAGGTATTTGGTGCATTTCTTAAACCTTCTGTACAGAGCATTAAGATATTTTATCACACTTTCTCTTGGTGTAACAGCTGTGATGTGAAGCACTAATCTTGTTTTTAGCACAAACCACGTGAGTCATTTCTTTCTAATGGGATTCCTGCATTCTTTTAAAGATGGCTGCAGTGTCAAAGACTGCAACAAACCTGCAGATGTGCTTTGTTCACTATGATGCACAGGAAGCTCTGCTAAGACAAGATGTGTTTGTGGTTTTGGTACCTGGTTGTGTCTGGTTCAAGGTTCTTTGTGATCTGGCAGCTCTAGGCCATAAAACACACCCAAACATCCTTGTGGTACTGTCTAAGTAGAAATCTTAGCAAAGACTAGAATAAGGACAAATTACAGTAGTGATCCACTTGAAGGAATATTGTTTCTCCCCCTCTTGGCAGCATTTAAGGCCCAGTTTTGGTTCAGTGGAGCCCATGTGTGAAAAGCTGGAGGCTTTCTGAGCCTCAAACTGGACGTCAGGGCACGCTGCATAAGGAAATAAGCTGGGAAGTACAGAAAGCCTTCCACCATGGAGAGAATTCTCTTTAAATAGAGCAGGGAGGACACAGCTCTATTTTTCCCTAACACTCTTCCAGCCACAGCAGGAAATGGTGCAGGTCCCAGTAACCTCTTTTGACCTGAAAGAAACGTGGATTTCTTTCAGCAGCTGGCACAGAGCCTTGTCTGGCATTCCTGGACTCAGCTTCCAAAGTACGTGGATGTGAGCAGGGTATGCTTGGCAGGGAAGAGGATGTGAACCAGCGTTTCAGCTGGAGTACAGCTGGAATGACAACTGCAGCCAGACTGGAGCTTTTCCCTAGTCTTCCCAGCTCTGCACTTGACATGCTGTGATCAGCACCCACCGCCTGGTTCCCGGGGTCGCTTTAGTAAATCGTGTGGCTGAGTGACAGCAAAAGCTGAGTCTTACCCCAGTGTGTCTGTGGAAATTGGGACCTAAACAAAACTGACCCGACCTCCTTGTTTTGGGGAAGCCTTTGATAGGGCTGCTGCAAGGAGTGTCTTTCTCCCAAAGCCTTTTTAGCTGTTGAAGAAGGACTTTTTATATCCCAAGACGAGAAACTAGGAAGGACATAAACCACGTATTTAGCAGCAGTATTTCCTTGTTTGACAGCTCCCTGTAGCTGAGAATGATGTGTTTTCAACACTGGCCTGTTCAGAAATGCCTGTTTCTCAGAATGGGAGGAAAGTCTAATTCTGATCGTATATTAATTAGTTATTTTGATATTATTACAGAAACGGCGTCTGGATTCCAATTTCACCTGCCCTGTCATGAGCAAAAAGCAGAGGATTGGTCGCCTGGCCAGTCGAGTCCAGCCAGCAGCCAGTGACCTCTGCGCTGCTTCCTCAACACTGCCTCCCACAGTCCTTCCGACTTCTAACACATCTGAAACTGTCAGCTCCACTTTCCCCTGCACCTCCGAGGTGCAACAAGAGGATATGTCTCAGATTCCTGTTGGAACCCCAGTGCATGCTGAGTCAGGTTAAGGACAGTTTTAAGCCCCTCCAGTTGGTTTGTTTGTCTATAGGAAAAATCTGCTTATTTCCGGTGTCAAAATTTTGCTTTTCTGTAGTGGTTAAAGAAACTTTCCCTGCCTCCACAGACCCTGTGTCCTCAAGCGAACAACCAGACTACTTCACGTGAGTAAAATAATTATCTCCCTTGGTACTCATTGGGGAGCAGTCTCAAGCTCCTTTCTCTTTTGGAAAGATGAGTTTGAGAAGGTTTTGATGTGCCCTCAGTGCTCAGAGCTGAAATGAACACCATGATGGGGAAGGGCAGGACGAGCCTGACACTTGCTGGCAGTGCAGTTGTGCAGTGTCAGCTGCAGCAGCGGTGTTGTGTCCCTGTGTGGGATCTGCAGAGCAGGAGGGGAGGGCATGTCTGTCTGGTCGAACACTGCCAATTGCTTCTGTGGGAGCAGTGACATTGGCAAGGGCGCTCAGGCCTCCTGCAGCTCTGCAGCTTTGGTGCATCTTCCATCTGCCTTCAAGCCAGTGGTGTGGCAACACCTCGGTCACATCTGATCAAGTCAGAGATGCTCCATGGAAAGACAGAGGGGAAGCCTGGCCCTGCAGGGAAGCAGTTTCATGCTTCTCATGTTAGGCTAAGGACTCCAATGCATGTTCAATTCCCAGCCTCTGCTGGGTGAAAATGAACAGAGTCAGCTCTTTGCTGTGTTGTTTCCCAGTCAGCTGAGAGCAGCGATACTGAGGAGCAAGATAGATGGTTACTTTTTGTAATTGAATATTGAAGTAGGAAGCCAAGATCAAAACCTAAAGGAAAACAACTTTCATGCAAGATTTCATGAAGTTGGCTTAGTTCTGATTGGGATTAAAAACTTAAATGAAAATTTCCCTGTGAAAGGAGCCACGTCTGGAACAATCTCACAGATAACCTCCTGGTCACAGTCATGTGGGAAAAATTAGGTTGTGCTGTATCAGACATCCGCCTGACCCACAGAGAAAGTTTGAAAACTGAGAGCACCTGCAACATGATCAAATATACCCAAAATACTTTGGTAGTTTATTCCAGCTTCTCTTCCTGATTCTTACTGCTAGCTAATTCATGAGTATGATCACAACTTTAGCATATAGATAATTTCAATCTTGATAGTATAAATGTAAAGGGACTCATGCTTTTTAAGCAAAGTGTATGCAAAAGCCAGAAAAACAAAACAGGTCCATGTTTCTCCCCATTTTGCCTCTCTTTTCTTCCCTCTCTACACTCTTGCACTGTGGGTGCTGTGCTGGGTTCTTGCTAGGGGATGTCACTGTGCATAAGCCAGAAGTCCAGGCTATTGCTTCACAGCTACCTCCCAAAATGTTGAAGGACAACTGTAATTTTCTTTTCAAAATCATCCAGCACGCTGATTGGGTGAATCTGGCCTGGGATGCACCACTGGGAGAAGTTGTTTTCTGGGTTGATAGTGAATTTCAACTTGTGAAATTTTTACTGCTTGTTAAAATTAATTTCAGGGTGGCTTAGAGTATTGGTCCCTGCGTGGAGGTGTCTTTGTCATCCAAACAGAACCAGGTCTTCAGGCCCTGTGGGCCAGAAGTATTGGTGGGGTTGGAAAGTGGGATCTATTGTTTGAATTGCCACTTCTTAGATTTGCACAATAATCTTGTTAAACCTGTTCCTGTTCATTTGAGGGAGAAGGGAATGAAGACAGTTTCACTCCCATCAGTGACTTCAAGCATTAGTGGGTTTTGCCCTCCATAAGAGTTGATGTGGTGTTTTGGGGTTTTATTGTTGTGGTTTCAGACTTCTCTGGAGTTTGTTTTTGTGGATGTATTGCCAGTGCCTCAGTTGAATGGACAGTAATTTAACTGGTGTTCACTAAAAGAATCAAATGTTATCGTTATCTCTGCTTTGCTTTCAGTGGACGTAAATGTAGCCAAAAACCTAAGAGCACCCAACTTCATAAATGCAGTCCCTTCCAAACATGTAATGTAGATGTATTTTGAGAAGTCAGTGTAACTTAATTAAGCTGTCCCTTCATAGAAAGAGATTGTAAACTTGCAGTGTTTCTTTTCTCACTGAAGCGATGTGTTTATAAGTTATTTGATATTTGAACAAATGCCAATGTTTTCTACACTTGTTTCTGAAGAAGAACTCTAAACTGCAAAATATCAGTATATAACTGTCACAGAAATGTGGCCCATTTCTAGAGTTACCTGATGACATTCTCATGAAGACATCCTCATGACATTCTTATGCTTACCTGTAGAAGTGTCTGGGCTTGACATTCACCATGTGCTTGGTGTAAAATTGCACATGTGCTTCACAGAATGCAAATGAATTAGAATGTTCCCTTAGAACACATTAATAACAAAATGTTTTCTGTCTTCCATTAGAAAATACGTAGCTATAGTGTCCTATGAGCAACGCCAGAGCTACAAGGATGACTTCAATGCAGAGTATGGTGAATACCAGAATTTGTTGTCTCAGATAGACAACATCACCAAGAAATTCAAGAATTTTAATGAACAACTGAAGTGTGTGACTCAGGGGTCCACAGCATATCAGGTAAAGAAGGATGAAACTGTGAAGAAGATCTTGGCAAGCTGAGGGGGTGCTGGTTCACAGATGGGAGAGAAGACTGGAACTGCCTGGAAATTAGTGGCCGTAATCCCAAAAGCTTTCCTGACTCTCTCTTTCCCATGACTTTCAACACATAACTAAACCTACAGCCACAACTTACTCATCCTCCAGGTGGCTGATCCCAGCTGCAATTTTAGCAGAGAGGGCTGTTCTAAACCTGATGTTCTGTCCATCCAGCCTTGGCTTGTCTGATTTGGACACAACCTTTCCATATCTTCAGTATCAGAATTCTTTAGTTCCATATACAGGCTGAGGCTTTTTGGATGGCATTTATTTTGATTTTGGTCAGATTGCAAATGTATTTGTGAGCAAAAGGAGTATTTTACTTTCCTTGGTCAGTGAAAGTATTTTACTTTTCTCTGTCAGTGAAACAGAGGGAATTGGAAGATATGCTCAGACCCTGCTTGGGCTAGGTCTCATATTTGCAAAACCCTGCCAAAAACACCCTGTTTGAGCTCTCTGTGAACGCACAGCAGTGTGAGTGATGTCCCAAAGGGGCGGTCTTTGAGCACATGATCCTTTTGTTGCCTACTGAGTTTAACTGCAGATTCTGGGCCGTAGAGGAGGTTGGGGATTTATTTTTGCAAAGCTTCTACAGAGCTCACAGAGAAGAAAATCTCTTCAACTCAAACTGAGTGTATTCTTGGCGTTTCACACGTTTGTATTTTCTGGTAGCAGTGAAATGGTCTTCATGTTGTCTTCATGGGTTTTTTCTCTTGTAGATGCTTTGTCATCAAGTTCTGGCAGAGTATCAGAAGGTACAACAGGTATGTGTAATACCGGATGTGAAGGAGGTGGAAACCGCTAAGTCTGGCTCAAGGCTATTTTAAAACCAAGGAGATGAAATTCTAAACTCTCCAGAAATGTCAGCATGCCCTAATTTTCTTTTCACCTTTCCTTTGTAGTGTAGCCCCAGCTACTCTGAACTGAAGGAGAGATATCAGTACCTGCACAATAAGCTGTCTCACATTAAGAGACTGTTGGAGTCTTAGCAGGTGTTAGGCCAGAGAAGCTAGGAGCAGCTGCCCAGCAAGAGGCCATGGAGATAACTCGGGAATCTAGTAAATGACCTTGGACACTGTGAAAGTGAGACAAGAAGCTGCATGGACACTCTCTGAAAGTGAGAGAAGAAGAATGCTTAATGTAAATATTGCCTTCCAGATTTGGCTATTCTGCCATTTCTGGTGCTGCTATCCACCTTCCCCCTCCCCTTTGTGTGTGTGTTTGATGAAGAGTACCTTTTAGAAAAAAATAAACCTCATCTTTAACTGATACAGTCAGACTGTCTTTATTAACAACCGGACAGATATGAAAAGTGAACCGAATTAGGCTAGGGTGGACACTGGCAAGAGACTAATACAAGAATTTGACGAACAGCAGGAGGCGTCCTAGCACCAGTCATCTGCTTTGTTCAGGACACATCTATAAGCTATGACATATTTATTTAGCTCCCCTAGGATTTCTTATCTTAGTATTTAACAGTTACTTATTTATTTAAGACTGAAGATAATTTTCTGTAAGATTATATAAGTTAGTATTGAACAGCATATTGTTTATTTAAAAAACAAGATCCACTTCCTCTAACAATATGTAAGAAAGCATTTCACATTTGCATTAAAGAAGTTTCAGTATTGTTAACTCCTTGTGGTGCTGTTGTTGCTTATAAAATATTTGAAGCTGCTTTTTTCTGGTCTGTCCTTTTCTTCAAGACTCAGGTTGTCCATTGAAAGAATTTTTTCCTTAGATGGTAGAGACCCAGTACCTCTCTAAAAAGTTGTCCATAATTTAGGAAAATATTGTAGCAAATTGTCATACTTTAGGATAAGTGTGTAAAAGCCTGTTTTCTGGCCTTTCTGGTTTATACAAACTCTTGGCCTTGGCGCTATAGAACCTGTAGAAATTTGGGCAAACTCCCCAGAAATCACTGCATTATGAAGGGTTAAAGAGGCAGCATTTGGGCTGCTCTGCACTGTCAGTTGAAGCAGCTCATAGGCCTGCTTTAAAGTCTTGGGTTCCTCTTGTCAGTGAGCCAAGTAATATCCAGATCCTTTGGAAGTGATTTGTAAAACACATAGACACGTGTTGGGGCAAAGTACTTCAACAGGTTTTATACAGAAATTGGGTTAAAGTGTCACAGTAGAAACTTGGCCAACTTGTTGGCTTTGTTAAAAATAGTCTGTCATAACCAGTCTTTCTAGAGACACAAATGTTGATTCCTGCACAGACCTATGGTGACTCTAGTCTAGTTCTTTCCCCTGAGTTTACTACCACTTGATTTCTTTAGCTCATGGGGGAGAGGTGTGTCCTAAGCTTTTTTTGGGGAAGGATATGAAATTGACTGAGGGCAGACAGTAACTGGGAACATTAAAACAGTTTAGTGGATCCCCCTTTCTTCCTTGGAAAGCAGTTTAAAAGCAACTTCTTCAGTTGTCTCCCTACCCCTGTACGTGACACTTCTTGGTGTGTTTTGTGATTGAACACCGGAGCCATTGTTGCCCTTCTGTTCTGCATCAGCTGAAGTCCAGTAAAATTGGTGTCTTTTTTGCCTGGAGGCAGGGGGTGCTCCTACCCCTCTTCAAGGAAGCAGCAGAATAAAGGCTGTGGGGAGTGAGGGGTGAATTCTGCTGCAGTGGTGCCTCCTCTCACCCTGATGTTCTGTTGTGCTGCTGCTTGTCAGAGACTACAAGATGCAGTGAACCTTTTAAAAATAAAACTTTAATCAGAACTCAATCGTCCAACCCAGTCAACCCACTGTACTTTGGTGAAGTGTTGCTGCCTTTGGCGTTTCTCTTCTCTCTTTTGCAACCTGAGGCTTCTCGAGCAGACCAGGGCTGCCTGATCTGTCTGTCTTCATGGTGACACCACTTTCTGTAGCATTTTCTAAGAAAGAGTGGACTTATAAACACTGCACTTCTCCACTAGCAGAGCTTCCACTGCTGCCACTGGTAATCATATGAAGTTGAAGAAGGGGAAGTGCCAGTTTCTGCCCTGGGATGGGGCAACCATGATTGTGTGTACAGACTGGGGAATGAGATGTTGGAAAGCTGTGCCAGGAAAGTGACCTGGGGGTCCTGGTTCATGCCAAGTTGATTATGAGTCAGCAGTGCCCTGGCAGCCAGGAGGGCCAACTGTGGTCCTGGGGGGCATCAGGCAAAGCATCGCCAGCCAGGCGAGGGAGGGGATTGTCCTGCTTTGCTCTGGGGCGGCCTAACCTCGAATATTGTGGCAGTTTTGGGCACCACAGTGTAAGAAAGATATTAAGCCCTTCGAGAGTGTCCAAAGGAGGGCAATGAAGACGGTGATGAGCCTTGAGGCTGTATGAGGAGTGGCTGAGAACACTTGATGAGTTCAGTTGGAGGAGACTGAGGGGAGACCTCACTGCAGCTACAGCTTCCAGAACCCAAGGGAATGGTCTGAAGTTGTGTCAGAGGAGGTTTAGATTGGATATTAGAAAAGTTTATTCCCCCCAGTGGGAGGTTGGGTGCTGGCAGTGGTCACAGCACCAAGGCTGAAAGAATTCAAGATGATACCCTCAGTCACTGGTGTGACTCTTGGGAATGATCCTGTGCAGGGCTAAGGACTGGACTCGATGACCTTGTGGGTTCCTTCTAACTTGGCATATTCTATGATTCCGTGAGTCAATTATGCTGTAAACTCCCAGGGGCAATAGTTTTTTCTTGCTTCTTTGGAGATAATGAACCTACAAGACCATTAACAGCTTTTGCTTCTCAGCAACCTGCTTAGGCTCTAAATCACAGAATGGTTTTGGGTTGGAAGAAGCCTTAAAGCTTATGTTGTTCTGACCCTCTGCCATGGGCAGGGACACCTCCCAGTAGCCCAGGTTGCTCCAAGCCCTGTCCAACCTGGTATTGGACACTTCCAGGAGTGGGGGATCCACAGCTTCTCTGGGCAAACTGTGCCTGTGCCTCACCACACTCACAGTCAAGAATTTCTTTGTAATATCTAAACCAAATATGAAGCCAACTTTGATAAAGAGTACATCATCTCTCATTGCTTCCAGAGTACAAACACTGACAGGGCCATGATGTTCCACAGTCTAAGAGAAGAACTTCAGAGGTATCAGTTCTTTCTGAGCTGTCTGCTATACTGTACCTTAATTAAATTCTGCAGTTTGGTCTTCTCTAACATCACTCCAATATAACTTTACCTTTATGAAATGCACAGTACTTAAACCTTACCTGCTCCCTGCCTCACATATCAGCCCTAGTCTTGTGTGTCTGGAAGAAATCATGTTTTCTTGGGTGTATGTTGCAGAGTATAAATTTATAGGAAAAGCAACTTTAAAGATTCCTGCAGAAATTCTGTGGCAATGCTAGGCTTAAGTTTATTCTGAAAATCAGAAGTAAGCCAAGACTGGAATTTACTGCTTTCACCTCTTGCAAGGAACAAACCAGGAGCTATGCTTCCATTTTTCAGCTTCCTAATACCCTGGTGTTAAATCATAATCTGGGAACTGACTCAGAGGAAACTGTAGCTTACTGAGTCACCATTCCTGCCACATCCAGAGGCACCAACACCCTCACTGACATCTGGCTGCCAGCACCGAAGGCTTTGGGCAGCAACATCATGCTACTTCTAGCCACACAGAGATTGTGCCTGGCTGGTTTTGCCCTGGCCAGCTTGGGTGGAGAGCCCGGAGATATGGAAATGCAGAGGACTGGGGAAAGAGAGGATGCCAGAGAAATGTCTGCATCACAATTCAGGTAGGAGCAGGGTCTCAGCTTCCCAACCAAGAGGAAATCTGAAATGATTTAAAAAGTTTTACCTCTTCTTACACTGCAGCTTTTTTTCCTTCACATTTGAGAATTTGCAGCAAAAAGCAGGGAAGAAGATGTCACACGAGTTGTGGCAGTTGCCAGCAGTACCCAATTCTAAAACACCTGGAAGACAGGAAATCTGATGGGAGAGAGGAGGGGGGTTTGGAAAGCCCTTTGGTAATTAACTGCTGGGATACTGCATATGGTATCGCACATGCAACAGCAGAAACCCTGTTGTTCAAGAGTAATTACAAGTTAAATTTGACTCCCAGATCTCAATAACTATTTACATAAGCATCTGCTGCTAAAACAAAGTTGAGGCCAACCTGACACACTCCACACAGGTTACTGGAGGGGTTTCCTCTATGGTGGCATACCTTGCAGCAAAGAGAAATGTGATTAAACCCCTACAATCTTTGCTACATACTGTGCCAAACATATTTTTTCCTATTGCTTCCAGCTAAAAGTTTGCACAGCCACCCGTTGTACCCCCTATTATCTCCATGTTAAAGGTGTTTGTCATTGCAGTGCTGAGTGACACACCATCTCTCTCTACAGCAATTCCAGCCTTTAAGCAACAGAGCAATCTGAATTGCTTCTAATTTTTGTACACAGAAAGTGCTTATCTCCTTGGTAAGGCACAACTTCCCTTTTCATTTAAAAAATAAAGTTGTAATTTTTCTTCATAACACTAAAATCACTGTGATAAAAAATTAAATCTCTATAATAATTTTTAAAACTCAAGAGAAAATTCTCAGCGTGAGCATCATCTCTCTAACAGATACAGCATGTCTTCTTCCCTTTTGGCAGTGCTTTATAATTTCAAAACAGCATCTGAGAACACTCTGTGCCTCAGCTCTCTGTGAAGGATTATTGTGCCTAAACACAAAGAGCAACCCCCCACCACAACTCTCTGTGTTGCTCAAATGTCAAAAATCAGCATCATATCTGACCTCAGCAGGAGACATTTCTAAGGTATCACCTTGGGGGGACACATCCCCTTCTCTGTAGGTGCCAAGCAGAAGAATTTCCGTCCATTTTTGAAGGACTGTAAATCCACTCTGTGCTGGGACAAAGAAAACCATGAGGGTTTCCCTAGCAGGGAGTGGAATACACTGGCGATGATGCTGGAGGCCCTGCACTAACATCACAGTGAAGATGGGCAGGGGGATGAAAGTAACCTGAAGTCTTCAGTCTTGCTTTCTTCCAGGAAACTCCACCTATGAAGGCAGTCTGAAGAATTTTTAGTTTTGCTTCCAAGTCATAGGATATGGGTAAGCCTCAGACTTGTTTGTGCCTGCTGCCTGCTGCCATGAGTTGGCTTCTTTTCCCTCAACTGTGCTTTCACAAAGACTCCAATTTCTTCAGTGTTTTTTAGCAGCCTTCTTTACCCTGACACTTTCCCTAACTTAGGCCAAGCTGCTATGCCTTCCCACAGAACACCAACCACCTCAGTAGCTTCACCTTCCCTCTTCTCTAAAATGGCAATTTCCAAAAACGGAGCTTTCTTCTTGTAATAAGGTGAAGACAGAAGGCAGTAGGTATTATCTGCCTGTTGAAGGACTTAGGATAGATGCCAGTGGTGGCATTCTTAACCATCCCCTTTCTGCACTG